GAGGGATCCATCCGCCCCCGTTACTCAATCAGCTTCCAACACTGCCACATTGGAGATCAAATTTCCACATGAGTTTTGGAGGGGACAACACATCCAAACTCCATCAGTGATGGTCTGAGATAATGGGGGAATGCCTGATTCTGGGCATTCCTGATGATAGGGAGGAACATGGAAAGGGAGTGGGTGTGCAGAGCAGATGTGTGAGATGACTGTGGTCAGAGACTACACCAGCCAAGTTTCCAGGCTTCAGTTGCAACATAGTGCATGATGGTGATGTCCAGGTGATGCTGCTGCCATGTCTGAAAAAGAAAGGAAAAAATGTGTAAATGAGATTCAGTGACAGATTTCTGAATGCCTCACCTTGTTTATTTTGTGTTCTCTTCAGGGCCTGGCCCAGTGTGTATTTAATAAATGCACGCATGATTTAATTGAGTTGAACTGGAAACCTGGTGTGGCAACTGGGCCATAATACCCTCTGATATAGAACCAGAGAGACTGAGAGAGCCCACAGGGAACAGAGCCTGTCACAGTCATCCCAGTGCCCAGGGCAGCATGGCATAGGTTATGACATTATATAAATGTCCGTTGCATGTTTTAAAGTATAAAAATCTCAGCCCAAACGCCCTGTTTAATGTGCATAAGAGTATCCCTTTAATCTTAATAGGGTCTGCCTTTAGTTTTCCCTTTAAAATAATCTTAATCTGAGCATTTTTTCCTAATAATTCACTAAAATTTGACATGGTTTAAGAATCATCTTTGGCAGTGAACCCTTGTTTTTAATCACTCAAATTTTAGTTTGTTTAGTTTCGAGGTAGAGATGGTTCCCTCTAAGTTTACTCCATAGAATTATTAGAGGGGTAGAAAAAGTTAGATTGAAAAGATTTAAATTTACAAACTCGTAGAATTCGTACTTCATTGTCACCTACAAACATAATCGAATTTATTCTTTGAAAATAATAGCATTGTTGCTAATGCTTCTAGATGAGCAAGCTAATAGAGGCACAATCAAGTGTTTATTTTAAAGTGTTGTAATTGACTTTAACATTACTTTCACATTTACAAGTTGCAGATTTAAATCAAAGAATTAGTTTATGCCACTTACTGTGCGATGAAAAGACTAAAAACTGTACCCAAGACAGATTATAAATATAGCTTTGACAAATTTGTATAATATGAAATATTGGATAGAAATATTACTAATTTTTCTCACTTTCACTTTGATAAAGAAGATATGTATATGTTGTCATGACATGGTAATGAAGTACCTGACGAGATGCTTTGAAATTTTACTGTTAACATTCCTTCCCAAGGTAGGTACAAGCCAATTAATTCCAGGTTCTGGAGCAATAGCCATGCTAATCTATATGGCTGAATTAACACATAGTACACTTTTAAGTAAATAAATACTTTTTTTTGGCTGGTGTCAGAATGAATGCCACAGTACAAATATTATGTAATTATTTTTATTCCATGCTTCTGACCTAATGAATTTTACATATGACTTTAGCTCGGTTTTTGAAAGATCAGCTCACCCTTTTCAGCCCCGCTTTCCCTCACCTCTCAACCTCCAGTCCATGGTACCTGGCTCATGTCCGCAGCCTCTATAGAGATACTCTCAGAGGCCAGGGTCAACCCAGTGCTGCTTCTCAGCTCTTCATCTTCAGTCTTTCTGCAGCATTTTTTTCCCCCAGTGGCATTACTCAGAAATTATCACGTTTTTTGAGTGTAGGGAACATTCAGAGGAGCTATTTACTGAATTCAAGGGGAGGACGTGTGTCTAGGATAGTGTATTAGTCCATTTTCTGTTGCTTATAATAGAATATTTGAAACGGGGTAATTTATAAAGAAATTAAATTTATTTCCTACAGTTGTATAGGCCAGGAAGTCCAAGATCCAGGGGCCACATCTGGTGAGGGCCTTCTTCTTGGTGGGGGCTTGGTACAGGGACCTGTGGTGATACAAGGTATCACATGGCGAGAATGGCAAGAGCTGCTTCTTGTGCTCTCCTAAAGCCATCATTCTGCCTCCATGATAATCCGCTAAACCACTAACTCATTCATCTATGAGTCGATTAATCTGTTCGCCACGATCCAATTACTTCTCAAAGGCCCCACCTTTCAAATACCATAATTGGATTTTCTATCTCCTGTTACGATGTCACTTACAATGGAGATCAAGTTTTCAACCCATGAACTTTTGGGGGACACATTTAACTCATAGCAATTAGATATTAAATTAATTAAAAAGGCTACAGGGTCATCTAAGCCTTGTGGATATACAGGCAGAAGGAGAGAAAGTAAGAAATGTGAACTGTTTTGCTTGGTTGTGACCCAGGTATGAGCCAGAGACCCAGTGGGAATTTAACCAGGTGAGGTTAGGGTCAAATGTTAAGGCTGTGTTGCACAAACTGGCAGCACAGTCCTTTCTGCATACTATTCTAGTGAAAAATGAAGATGAATTAATTAGAAATTTGAGACAAAGCCACACGCTTATTCCACCTTGGATCAAGGTCTAAGAAGATGACTAGTTTGCATCACAAAGAATGA